AGAAAAAGCGCGATAGTATTCGAGCTGGTTTCTCGAGAATAACTAGGAATAAGCAGCAGCGAGTGTATTCTCAGTATAATTTCCAATATTCTTTATTTAATTGAGTTTACTAAAAGAGATTCATTCTCTTCCTAGAGATTTCTATCGGCATGCTGTAAGAAATATTTGTAGATTCGTTTTGCAAATGAATTCGACAAGCCCGAAATTTTTTATAATTTTTAAAACGTTTGCTCAATGACAAATTTTAATCAAAGGACTTCTCTAGCAATCATTTCATTGCTAATTCCTTTGAGTGATATTGCAAAACTTAGTCGTTGGTTGCTGAGATACTGTTTCTGATCAATTTAATATCAATAAGTGAGCTTCGCAATACTTTTTCAGAATTTATGCGTTAATAAAAAGAATTGGTTTTTACCTTTTTTCACATGTAAATCAGAAAAAATTACAGAAGTTTATTGCGCTGCAACTTTTTTGATCGCTGTATTTCGATTCGAATCTTATTCACTTCATTTAATAAGGAAAATCAAAGGGGTTTTCTGTTCTATGTAATTGCTTATTTATGGCACGGTATGGATGGGCAAATGAAATCTAGATTTCTTGCTCAATCTCAAGCTGAAAGTGCTGCCAACTTTTTTCTATGAAAGTGGCATGTCGATTCTTCGTTGCGAAACATATCATTTAGATTTGCAGTAGAAACCGGGAACATTCAAACAAAACCTCCCTTTTATCCTGACATTCGCGAATGGTTCACCGAACAGGAAATCCGAAATTGTCAACAGGTGCCACTCGAGCGTGTCATCGTGTTGGATTTCCGAGGATAAAAGAAAAATTCGCAGACGCGGAATCCCATTTTTCTCCTTGAGACGAACATCATTTTCCATCTCCGTGTGCGAATGACGGTTTATTATTTCAGATTACCGAGTTTTCGCAAAAAGTATGGGAGGAAAACGAACTAGGGACGTAAAGAAAAAAATCTGTACTTTATTCGAGAGAGAATTTCAGACAGCACAGACATTCTCGAAGTATAATGAGGGGAAATTTGATCAACAGAACAGCGACACTCACTTTCCGCGAGACAGGGATTTTGAAACCGCGTTCCAAGAAAAAGAAGACAGACAGAAAATCCTAGTATTTTTGTGATACTTTTCATGCTATCTCAGATCGCACCTTGATTTTGGAGGTTTTTTTTATGGGGAAAACTACGAAGGCAACATCGAATGGAATATTATGAAAGAACGTCTTTATTGTTCTCCGAAAATTCGTGAAAATTTGAATCACAACAGTTTACTGTTACATCCTGGTTACGAACAGTTATCCGCACTTGGATACACAGTATAACTTTTCTGTGGAATGAAAATCTGCAGTTTGTGAACAAAGCAATGCTTTGACTTCTAAAATATTTGTGGAAATTTTCTTTGTTAAATAGTTGAAAGCTGCATTCCTTCGGTCATTCTCTCCTTTATAATAAAAGGTGAATATTTCAGGCAGCTAATGTTTTGAGAAAAAAGCAGAAAGAAAAAACTTACGTCATTTTTAAAAATGAGCTCAGGTTAACATTCGTAAGAAAATATCCATAAAACGCAATACCTTATTTAAAAATCGTCTTATGATTTTTATGCGTCCATTCCTACTTAGCTGTTCAACGAAATCTTCAAGGTATATATCATAGCAACTATATATACGAGAATTCAAGTATTCATTATATAATCTCGCAATAATCGAAAAATAAATTATGATTTTTTTCAACGAATTCACGAATTTCTCCGTGCTGGTTCTTGCAACATGAGAACACGTTTTTCTTCTCGACTCCGACAACTTTTTCAAGGCCTCACTGCTTCATTGAAACGAGATTCTTCTTCGCAGAAAATAAATTTAACTGGCTATTTTTGTGGGTTCGTTCAGAACCGAAGACGATTCATTTTTCGGCATATTAGTTATCTAGTAATAGTGACCATCAGGTATTATTTCCTGGACATTACTTATGCCAAAACCAGAAAGTGTTGCCAGAACCCATGAAATGATTGAGTTTCAGAGGAATATGATTCTTCAAATGCTTCGCGCGTGAATTCTCATGACCATACAAGCACTTGAATTTAATCTTTATTCGAAAAAGTTTTCCGATCACAATATTTTTTTGCTTGATTCTCGAAGTGGAGTTATGTGAAGAAATGCAGGGATTCCCGGTTTTTTTTTTCTTTTTTCTTTCAAAAACAAGAAGGATTCATGCATGACTGGCTGGAACATTGCGTACTTCCTGCTGGAATTCTTATCGACGTACAATGCAAAGCTTACAGCAGTCTTCGGCCTTTGCTGCAAGAGAAGAGATTCCGCGACGGATGCATTTCCGTCTGTTGGGGGTTGGAAGAGAATGCGGGTGTGCAAAAGAGGGAATTTCCGGCCAAATTACATCCGGCGTTGGTGAGGACGCCAGCACCAGTGTGGAAAAGTCCTTCTGCGGCCGAGGATCTCTCTACTAGTATATATACGAGTATGAGGGCACTTCCCTAGCGGAAATCTCATTTCCCGGCCTTGGTCTTTTTAGCAACTGCTGAGGAACATGTGTCGAGAAAATGTGGAGATGAGCATGAGAACAGTCTCTCGTCCTTGTCAGAATTTTTCTGTCATAATAGTCACAAAATTTCCAGTATATTTTTTCACCCTTCACTGCAGCCGGAGTCGGGATATTATGCAAACAGTTTAAAAGCTCAGAAATAAGAAACACCACAACAGCACTCATTCAAATAGCCAAATTCCAGAGAGAAAGTCTTATCCTCACTGTTGAAGTGATATGGGGCAATTTTTCTTCATTTCTGTATCATAAGATTATCAAGGAAGGATTATAAAAACAATAGGGATGAGTTCTGTTGGACAAAAAATCTTCAACTTGGTCAACCAAACTATAGCACATCAGGTTCTGTTTTATATTTGGTAAAATTTCGTTGCACAAACAATCGATGCATGCAAAAAAAAAACCGTGAATTTGCTCGAAGATTGAAAGACACCTGCCACTGTCCAGCAAGGGTAAACTAATGAGCGTTTACTTAACATACTCGCAGAAAAATTCAAATGTTCCCAATTTTTTGCCTGGTTTTAATGTGAGGAATCAATACCTGATTTATTTTTGTACTCATGACTGCACAGAACAATAATGTGCTCACCCATCAGCAAATGCCTTTTCAGTTTTTAATCAAGTTTCAGTTTCATCCATCACATTCAGCTGCTGATAAACAAGCATATACTATGTCCTCGTGGTGAGGTTAATTTCACTTCGTTCATGAATTCTGGAAATGCTGTGTAATACTGTGAAACGCGCAGAAATAAGTTGTATGATAGGAATATAATATCTTGGGGCCCCGAGATGCGGACATAATTGGTCATTGGACTTTGTCCCTTTGTTCGACCATCTTTTTCATAAACCTCAAAGGCAACATATTTAATTGATTCATCAAAAATTAGGAATACACTCCCACAAGAATCGAATTCAATTTTTTTCTGAACTTCAATAAGCTACAGAAAATTACTTTGAAAAAAGAAACGCACAGAATCTGGTCTTTGGCATCAGAAGGATGAGCTCTAATAAAAAGCAAAGACCATCAAAGAACAAGTCTAGCTACACTGCAGCATGCATGATGGGAACAATTGACCAGTTTCTGGTTATGAATTTGAACAATTTTACAATGAACCTTTATTCATAATTTATTGTAGATACGAATAATTCAATTTTTCCAAGAGACAACAAAATCGAGAAAAATAAATTGTTCAAATTTTTCCCGAAATGTTGGAAACGTGTCCGTATTTTGAGACATCGTCAGTTTGTGTCGGAGCGGGTTTCTTTAAAGTTTAAAGCGTCCCGAAGTAGAAATTTATGCACGTCTGGGGCGTCCGTATGTCGAGGTCACACTGCATATATGATCCGCTGACACAAGGAATATATGGGAAACACGTGTAAGATTCATGTATGCCGTTCCATATACACATGTAAGCATCGCCGTGCCGCAATTCGAAGGGATTTCGTCTTCTGCAGGAAGACCTAATTACAGCCCAGCAGCAGCAGCACCCATGCCTCAGGCGTGTTCATTTATGGTCCAGCGCGGGCATAATGACCCGCCATCAGTGTTCTATAGTCATCAATGCCCGACGGTTAATACCCCGTCAGACCGTTGTTTAGTGGCACCCGGGGTATGTATAAGACACAAGGCGACGGCAGAAATGGATACAAACCCGGGAGGGGGAGGGGTTCGTTTCTTCCACCACCACTGCGATCCCGGTCATGAATAACGCCAGCGAGATTATTCCGCGCAATTACATTAATTTCCGAGGCAGGCCGAGTCTGGGTGACGACTCGCACCCAGCAGAAGCTCAGTTTTGGCCGGGGCTCTGCTCAGGAATTAGGCCGGGGTGCAATAACATTTTCTCCAGCATATATAGCCTATGATGCCCGGGGTTGGGGGGGGGGGGGGGGGGGGGGGGGGGGGGGGGGACCTGTAATTATAATTATTCTTGCTTCCATCAAACATTCCATTTAAAGAATGGAAACTAAACCCAAAGGAAGAAGCAAGCATCTTGATCAAAACGTTTCCACCCGAGACAAAATTTCCCCTGCAGTTTGCTAATTTTCTAAAAAAAAAATTCAAGATTTTCTGAAATGTCATGAACACGATTTTCCGATAATTTTTGGATTAGCCCTCCTCTTCAAAGAAATGTATGAATGATATTTGCATATACAGTATAGAATGACCCAGTCGTCCCGGGAGCTCACTGATTGCATTAATCCGGGTTTTCGTTGAGATCAGAAACTTCCCATTATTATCTGAAGACCACGGAAGCATGAATTCAGTCCGAAAAGGATAATGATTCGAGTCAGGGCCCGGAAGATTTCATCCTCCCCCAACAGCAGAATTCACTCGCAAAAACGGGTGTCCACATATATGCGAAGGTACAGTATTTGCACCACGAACGCAAGAACCCTTCAAACGACGCCAGACCGTGTTTATTCAGAAATGAACTCCCGGGATTGCGGCCGGGTTCCCAAGGAGGTTCTGCAACCCCGAGTTTCCTCAACAGCAGGAGCCATGCAGCCCCCAATAATAACTCTCGACAATTTTGAGGGACTTTTCATAAGTCTTGCGACGAGTTACCCGAAGAACCGAGTCAGTTCCTGATTTATCCACGAAGGAAAGTGAATTACCTGTTGAATTATCTTCTGAGCTTTTCCATCAAACTAAACATTTTTCTTTGAGTTCTTTTAAGAATTGGTCGCACTAAATTTTACGAAACCCGCGTAGTTTCTGGTTCACAAAAATAGCATAAGAGTCGAAAATCCAAAAAAAATTACACTATACTCCTCCCCAATATTAAAAGAAAATTATTAAGATGATTCGGTGCTGGGACTTCTAATCATATTAAAGCTCAACCTTGATAAATTCTACGAAACCCGTTCGGTTTCTTTGTCACGAAAGCAGCATGAAACCGTTTCAAAAACTTAGCTATACGTCCTGCCAATGTTGGAAGATAATCGGAAAAACATTTGGGCAGAACTACAAATTGCAGTGTATACATATGAAAGCCCAACCTGATGCACATACCGCAGGTCCGAAAATGTTTTGACTGCATACAATTCGCACAGAAACATTTCCAACGCTTCAAAATTGTTCCGTTTCCCTTATTTCTGTAGCATAAAATGAGGGGTCTTGAATAAATATACCTTTAAGTTTAAACCATTTGCAGCGGTGCGCCATGAATTTTGTTTCTGCAAAATTCTGTGGACAGGAATGAAACAGGCAGGGTAAAACCACGCTGATCAAGAAATGCCAAGAATATTTAAAAAAATCTTCTCAAATTACAGAATGTATTTACTGAAGTACCACGCGCCCTCAAGTAAGGTGCACGCAGGGGTATTTCAGTTGGACATTTTGCTAAAACCTTATCCCCAAGTAAGACACTCACCCCAATTTTTAGTGAATCTAATTTCACAAAATTTCAAAACTTACAACAACAAATTTGACTTTATACATGAATTAATTGAATAAAAAGCTGATCAATTTTCAACTTTTTCAGTATAAACAAGTTTTTTGGTACATTTGTTCCAAATTTCTCCATTATAATTGAGAATAATGCATGCATAACTTCCTAAAACTTCTTGAAAAATGTGTACCCACTCATGACATGCACCCCTTTTTTCTTCTGAAATTTGATAAAAAAAAAGTGCACGTGGTACTCAAGTAAATACGGTAATGAATCATCAGCACTGGATGAATTTTTGATTCTCAGAATATAAAAAACAATGCACAATTTCTAGGACTTTAAGATTTAGTTATTTAGCTACTCAGCCCAGACTGAATTTTAGTGACTTTGTGTAAAACCAGACTGCATCCCTTTTTGAAAGAAAAAAAACCCTGGCTTAGTATAGCAGGATGGGCATCAACCCATTGCAGTCCAAAAGGTAACCCCGCCAAAGATTCCCAGACTTCTGCTATACCCAGCTTACTCATATAAAAAAAAGGAAAATAAAAATGCAGCATATAACACTTTTCGCTGTCCAAAACTCGCGCACCCATTTTTCTCCGCCTCTTTAAATAGCGCAGTGGTGAGTGACGATTTGTGGGATAAGGTTTTAGCAAAATGTCCAACTGAAAACCCCCTTTGCCCGCCTTACTCAAGGGCACATGGTACTCAAAGTAGATACATTCTGTAATTCAAGAAAAAATTAACATTCTTGGCATTTCTTGATTGGCATGGTTTTTCGCGCTTGTTTCATTCCTGTCCACGGAATTTTACAGAAAAAAATCATGGCACCGCTGCAAACGGTTTAAACTTGAAGTTATATTTTTTGAAGACCTCTCATTTTTATACTATAAAAATAAGAGTAACGGAACAATTTTGAAGCGTTGGAAATGTTTTTGTGCGAATTGTATGCGGTCAAGAACATTTTTGGACCTGCGGTATGTGCATCAGGTTGGGCTTTCATATATACACTGTAATTTGTAGTTCTACCCAAATGTTTTTCCGATTATCTTCCAACATTGGCAGGACGTATATATAGCTAAGTTTTTGAAACGGTTTCATGCTGTTTTCGTGACAAAGAAGCCGAACGGGTTTCGTAAAATTTATCAATGAGCTTTTATATAATAGAAGTCCCAGCACCGAATCATCTTAATAATTTTCTTTCAATATTGGGGAGGAGTATAGTGTACTTTTTTTTAGATTTTCGACTCTTATGCTATTTTTGTGAACCAGAAACTACGCGGGTTTCGTAAAATTTTGTGAGGCAAATTCTTAAAAGAACTCAAAGAAAAATGTTTAGTTTGAAGTATAATCTCAGAAAGAATTCAACGGACACCACTTCGCTTCGGTAAATCAAAAAGGAACTGACTCGGTTCTTCGGGCAACTCGTCGCAATAAGACTTATGAAAAGTCCCTCAAAATTGTCGAGAGTTATTATTGGGGGCTGCATGGCTCCTGCTGTTGAGGAAACTCGGGGTTGCAGAACCTGCTTGGGAACCCGGCCGCAATCCCGGGAGTTCATTTCTGAATAAACACGGTCTGGCGTCGTTTGAAGGGTTCTTGCGTTCGTGGTGCAAATACTGCTGTACCTTGGGATATGTGGACACCCGTTTTTGCCGGTGAATTCTGCTGCAAGGGAAGGATGAAATCTTCCGGGCCCTGACTCGAATCATTATCCTTTTCGGACTGAATTCATCTTTCCGTGGTCTTTAGATAATAATGGGAAGTTTCTGATCTCAACGAAAACCCGGATTAATGCAATGAGTGAGCTCCCGGGACGACTGGGTCATTCTATACTGTATATGCAAATATCATTCATACATTTCTTTGAAGAGGAGGGGTAATCCAAAAATTATCGGCAAACCCATGTTCATGACATTTCAGAAAATCTTGAATTTTTTTTTTTAGAAAAGTAGCAAACTGCAGGGGAAATTTTGTCTCGGGTTGAAACGTTTTGAGGAAGAGGCTCGCCTCTTCCTTTGGGTTTTCTTAGTTTCCATTTTTTAAATGGAATGTTTAATGGAAGCATGAATAATTATAATTACAGGATATCGTAAAAGAAAAGCGGTGCAGCAACAATTATTTTCTTAAATTCTCTTTCTTCTATTTTCGTCATTATGCCATAAAAAATGAGGAACGCCCGAATTTCAACGAAGCCATTTTCAGCTTCGTTTCGTCTTCAAGGCCAACGAGCTGTCAACATTTAAAACAAGAAAATCCGAAAACCATTATGAATTGCCAGCCGGAAATGTCAAACGGATTGTTGAGTCTGATGCCTGGAAATTCTTTTTACGACACGCCAAACTAGGACAAATATGGTACAATGCCATGAAACTAATTTTTGGAAAAAGCATTGGAAACCTTCTCTGCAGTTCAATTTTCTCATGGTGCCAGTGTCGGACTGAAGACTGTACAACTAACGCCATTAGAATGAATATGAATATCAATTTAGTTAAGTTGACATTCATTCAACTGATTTTCTGACCTTGTTCCAGAAGATCCAACCTGTTTAAAATTGATCAGTCATCAAACCCATATTCATGACATTCCAGAAAATCTTGAATTGTATTTTTCCAGAAAATTAGCCAACTACAGGAGAAATTTTGTCTCGGGTTGAAACATTTTGATCAAAAGACTCGCTTCCTCCATTTTGGTTTTCATGGTCCTCACTGCATTTTAATTTGAATATTTTGACTATAATAGAGAATGCGAAAAAATATAGCGTTTATAATGAACGAGGCTTAAAATGTATATTCAACTGCCCACGTGCAAGCCACGTGGCACAAAATGAGTATTATTTTCTGGTTCACACATTCATCGTGGCTTAATCCGCTGCACATGAACCCGGCCATAACATTACACCCTTGTGGAATTTCAGTCTGATGTAGATTGACGGTTTGGGCCTCACATATACGGAAGAAGCAGCACGCATTTCATAACTCATTTATCAGTAAAATGTTTTCAATGAATCATTCTCCGCGCATTTCCCCATTTTCGAAGGAAAGTTGATAATTTCCCGCATCTTATCCTTGGCTCGAAGGCACATTAATTCCGTGTTGCAGTACGTCAATTAGAATGAATTTTGGGGAACATTTTGCTCGAGTACTGTATATACGGAGAGATGCCTTCGGGCCCCGACATGCGGACGATTTGACTCGGGGACAATTTCAAATTAGAAAAATCTGCTTCGGCATCTGAACAATGATGACTCGAGATTTGTACATTTAATTATTAGCCAAAATTTCCAGTGTAACGGAAAAATGTATATCTATCAAAATTTGGATATCTCTTTAAAACATTTATTTACATTATTTAAATTCACAAAATGTAAAGAAAATCTCAGCATAAATTCAATACGATTCAAAATCCAAAACAGGCTACGGTAGTTTTATTGGAATATTTCTAGGGTTTTTTCCATCAAATGTGCACAGTATTGCAAGATGTATATGATTTTATTTTGCTTTTTGAACTTCTGCTCTTTGCCAAAATGATACTTATTGCTCCATGAATTTCATGTGTGCGGTTATTTCCTGCATCTTCAATTTGAGAAAAATTATGTATTCCATGTGTATCCCAATTTCTTGACTAACAGGTGAAATTACTAAAACATGATTTTTTTGGAGTCTACTGGAAAATTTCATTCAAAACGTGGACATTCTAATGTACACATACTGTCCAACAAGGGAAATACGTCCGCATCTCGGGCCCCCATTGTATTTGGTATATCTTTTTCTTCATTTTTGTTTGCCGATGAGTCATCTGACGAGTTTTATTCCATTAGCATATTATGACGACGACTGACGAGACATATCTCCCATCTCGAGAATCGTGACGAGTTCTATCAAAGACTGCAGAATATGCCTGATTATTTTCATTCCAGAAGAAAAATTGCAAGTACCAGCCAAACATATGCTTTTGGGTCCGACGGGTCGTAATCTACAGTCATTTATCTGGTCATTTGTTTTGCTCTGCAAACGCCATTCGGGTCGTATTTCACCCGGGACTGGAAGGTTCTCCAGCAGAGAAATACTCGCAATTACGCAATTTACACTGGGGTCTTTAGGACGAGTGGATTTTCGCAGAGGGGACGATGAGCCATGAAAATCCTTTGCTATAATACACATAGGCAGAGAGAAAGATTTTGTTTCGGTATCCTTTTAAACTCAATTTAAAGCTCGAATTCGCTCAGGTCGCATGCATCACTCTTGATGACGTTCGCAAGTACTGTGTGTATTTTCCAGCTGCCTGGATGGACACGAAAGTGACGGTTCACTTCCCAGAACGGGCTTTATATACAGGAAGCCTTCCTGTTGGGCCATTAAATGCTTTCATCGATTTGTCGTAATTCGTGCAGTTTGAACTGCTTAATCCCGGGGTGCAAAAACTCGATAAACACCACGTGCACGCGAACGCGTAAATGATGGAATATGATTGACTGCCCCGGAAGAATTTTCAAAGCACGCAAGGGAGTGTTTTTTGTTGTTGTTGTTGTGGTTTTTGGAGTGTGGAAGAAGAAAACGGCGCGACACAAAAAAGCGCGTGCGAAAACAGTGAGGGTGAAGAAGTTCAGTTGCTGGGAAAGAGAGTGCGAAATAAAAATAGCCTGGCTTGAAGTACTCCATCAATTAGTTTTGGTCAGGTGCTGTTGGGGATTGAAGCACATATTTCATTAATTAACATACAGTACACGTGGTACCTTGCAATTCAACCTACCGCAATTTGAGTGTCCAGCAATTCAACACTGGAATTTGCAAGGAGATTGACTCGCAATTCAACACTTGCCCTGCAATTTTACCTGCTTTTTCCAATTATTTTGCGTTTTTCGACTTATATTTTGAATTGGGTGGTGTGTCTCACAATTTGACCAATTTGAAATTTGACCCTAGTATGGCAATAGATTAGGGTCAAATTGCAAGGTACCACCTGTATAATCTGAACCTCCTCCTTCATGATTGAAAAAACTGGTGCAGTAATACATTTCATGAACATACAATATTGAGTTCCACTGGACAAACATTTGCTTCTATATTATTAAACACTTTTATTCCGCTGAAAAGAAAAGCTTAGAATCATATATCCTTCGCCAATAAAATGTGTTATCTTCGCTTCAAGACTTAAAGAACGCAAAAAAAGGAAACAGAATCTCATTCTGAACCCAACCATTATAAGGCTTCCGTTTTGCTGAAGTGAAATTCTTTGAAATTACTGGGGAAATTCCTGAGTCACTAGCATGAAATAGTGTGACTTTAATTAGATCAAATCAAACTTTGGATATTTGAATAACAAAGTTCCCATCCAATCACAGGCATGATGATTTCAATTATTTCATTATTGGAAGCGTTCTTTTGACATGCGCTCTTTTGATAACCCTTTCACGCATTTTGGTACATGTCGAAGATATTTTATTGTACAATTGAATCTCTTCCGGTTGAAAATGGAGGAACCAAAAAATTTGATTTTATTTTTTTTCTCTTTAAACTACGACATTTTTCAAAGAAAAACAAATGGAAGAAATTGTAATTGGCAATATTCTGAACCTAAAATTTCTTTTTAAATTAGTTGACAGGATGCTGAACTAGTATAGGCAAGTGTTCATTCGCCCAATTAGTCTTCCGGTTTCTTCCAAAGCACGTCAAGCTACATTTTCATTGCTTTTTTTCTTATCTGGTCACTAAAATTAAAAGATAAAATGCCTCCGCAAAATTCGGGCGTTGGACGTTAGAAAAGAAAATCATTTGAGTTGGGAATTTTTTTTACAATGATTATATATTCTCAATAAATTCAGAGAGGGTCTTGAAAAATTGACAGGACGAGGTATTTATCGTCAATAAGAGGTTCTGGTTATCCAGGTTCAACTGCTGAAGAAACCCACATGGAGCAAACATTCTGGGTTTCACCGATGAGCCGGTCAGGTTCCTTTCTGGTTTAGTTTTCACCCATTTTCTAAAGAAAAAAGAAAAGAAAAAAAGAAAGGAGTTTCTGTCGTGGGAATCAATGAACCATCCTCTTTCAAAACTGGGACCCGGAAAATAATAGAAAATGAAACTAGAAAAAAAAGAGTGAAGGACGTGTATATATATTTACAAAGGGCAAAGAAGATGCGGGGATTCAAGGCACGCGTTTTGCTTGTGCCGCGTATACGTCCGTCTCGGCGCTTATGGTCAGTAATTGCTGCCGCCTCTTTTGCTGATGTTCCTGCCACAGACGTCATCAGTGTGCAGCACAAGTTTTTCGCCCCCACCCCTTCTCTAACCACAAGAAGAAGAAGAGAGGAAAGTAAGAGAAAAAGCAACAAAACCCTGGGAGCAAACACGAGTTTGTATCCCTCATATACAGCCGATTTTCTTCTCTGACTTTTTTCCCCCTCGTCATCCTTGGTGGCAGAAGAGAGACGCAAGATTTTTCTCTCCTTCAGCTAGTAGACTGAAGGTTTCTCGCTTTTATTTTTTTTTAATTTTTATACTAGCGGATTTTTTCCACACGCTTTATTTGTATCCTGCAGAATTAAGGGCTTTTTCTAGAAACTGTTTTTTCACGCCAAGATTTTATTTTTATTTATCTTTGAACGCGCGAAGGCTTTTGATTCTTTCCAACTTTCGAGAGTTTCGTCAAATCTGATCTTTTTCATGGTATGAAGTTCTTTTCCCTCAGAAGCCTCGTTGATTGCCTCCAATTGGAAGAATTTAAGCCGAAGGTCAAGAGCCTCATTACGCCGAAGTCACATTCTATCTGCGTGGTACTCGCAAATCTTGTTTTTTCTTTATCCTTCAAAATTGGCGAAATTCGTGATACGCGCGCCATTCTTAATGATGCAAGCGACATTTTCCCGATTTTACCTATGCATTAGTACAGTAATTCATTCAGCATTGTTCAATTTTCGCGTGGATCTCGAGCGCAAACATTTTATAATCACATGCCTGAAAAACCGCTGGTTGCTTTTTGTAGAAAAGGTACTTCATTACTCGAAATGCGATCTGTTACCGGCTCAATTTTTGATTTATGCAAATCACAGCTTCTATTCATGCAAACAAAATTGCACCTAATTGTGCGTGTTTCAGTGATGATTTGTATGTTAAGCTTTTTGTTTCAACGGACTTCCTCAGGATAACGAACTAATTTGTTCAACATGTTTCTCTGCTTCAAAAAATTATAAAAAAAAACTTGGTGCCTTTATGATGCAGAAACATAATTTTTTCCAAGATCGCACATTGAAACTTTTCGAAAAATCGTACAACTGCGTATATTGAATGGGTAATTTTTCTTCGCATTCAAACGCAATCTTCAGATTCACAAGCCTCAAAAACTTCAAAAAATCTTTTGGCTCGTATCCGTGTAGACTGTGGAGGCATTGAGACGAAAACATCCTGACGAATTCATCCAGGGCTAATTTCCGTTGAAAGCATAACGCAAAGTTGTTCTGTATTCTTGAGCGTTTTCATTCAATATTGAAATCATAAGCGTGATCCAAATATGGAATTTCCGTGCAAGTGCAAGCGAAAGTCGGGCTGCTACTCACCAGTGGGAAAAACGAAATCTTCGTTAAGCTTGTATATTACGTGATCACTTTTTTGTTCGATGCGGAGGAATTTCGCCGAGTACTTCGAAAAGTCACGAAAATCCGATTGCCAGCTCACCGAAAAACTCTTCAATCCCGGATTGAACGGACATTGAGTAAAAAAAAATTTCAGCACTATACTTCTTTCTGGTACTGGCCGTAGATTTGAAATATCGATGATTATCTTTTCATACCTCGCTGAAATATGCTCAGGGTTTGACTCAAACATTCGTGGCTGGCATTTTTTTGCTGTTACCCGAAGCTGTAATCAGCAGTGAGTTGACGATGTGGTTCAGATCAGCATTTTTGGGCAACAAAGACTAGAATCTGTATCTCTGCCAAAATCAGCGCATTAATAAAAACAAGCAGAAAAAAATAAATATTCACTGTATAAGCCAATATAATTCCGTTACGATACAAAATAGTCAGGGGATGAGTTGAGATATTTTTTTCCGGTTGATGCAATATTTTTCTTGGCTGATTTTCTTGACTGATATTCTTTTTATTCTCGTTTGAACAATTAGTTTTTGACTTACTTTTTTAATTTGTTTAATCACTTTGAATTAATTTTTTTTCACTTGGATACGGGTCCAACTTGGATAGTTCGTTTTTTACTTCCCTCTCTTTTTGAATCTAGAATTTTATCTCAGAAAAGCAAGAAGACATAAAGGAAAAGGAATTTCAAACGATGACAGGAGAGTGATGGGTGCTTTATGTCAGCAGAAAATATATTGACGGGACCAGAAAAAAAATGTAAGAGGAAATTCGAAAGGCATTTTTCAAAGATTACCTCATGATAACGTACGCTCACAGAAATGCAGAGATTGCTTCAAGAAGATTGTTTCATAGGATTTCCAAATACACAAAAATTCAGAACCGATTTCTTCCCTTCGGAGAATAAAAAGAGTTGAAGTACATGCAAGTTTAAATGAATTAGAAATAAAGAAACAGCGGGGGTACTTGTGGAAAAAAATTCATATATTACCAAGGCCACAAAAGTCTACTGCATGAACCTTGATTTTTCGAATAAAAAAATTATATGTTAAAAATGTTCAAATTTCTTGCAACAGCAAAGAAGCCATTAAAGGATATGCATGAGAAATTACTTGCATTTCTCATCGCTTTTTTCCCTAACAGGTCATCACCCTCAAAACGTTTTGCTTGCTTTTGAATAACTGTTGGAAACATTCTTCAAGTTAATAATGCCTTAACACAAAGATCATTCTTGTAATACCATATTTTTCACCAGTCATTTTTAATTCAATTTTCAAAGAGAAAAATGAAGACTATATATTCAAACTATTTGCATCATCTAACATCCCTTCAATACATGATATTGTAGCTCTTTTGACAAATTCATGGCACTTCAGTAAACAATTCATCAAATTTTCAAAGGTGTCTAAATGGTGTAACTCCTGCAGCATAAATACATTAGTTTTTGCATCTCCAGAGCACTTTCTCTTATTATTTCCAGCATTTCAAACTGATAGAAATGAGCTTAAGAAAGATTTACAAGTATTGGAATTCAATGAAGAGACCCTTTCTGAAATCTTAAAGGATTAAGATAAACTGTTGGCCTCATATGATTTCTCATCAAAAATTCTCTCTAAATTGTTTATTCAACTAAACCTTATCCAGGAACAAGCTCAAGACCTTGCGCTTTAAATTTATTGTTACTGATATTTTGTTTTCAATGTCAGGGAAGGAATGGGTGTATGCAGACATGTCAGATAACCCATTGTATTTTGTCAATTGTATTTTCTTTTATTTTTGTTATCAATTTTTGCTTTGTTTCCTGCTCTGAAGTGATTAAATGCCTTTGAGTTGATTTGGGTTGGGTGGGGATGAGGGGGTGTGGATGGGGAAATCTTGATTGAACCATCTGAACGCTGAAAAGTGGAAAATAAAGCCTTCTGTTCTTTCATTCATATTCAAATAAATATGTCACCCTTACCCTCAACACTGAACTGTAAATTATTATGAGGATAGAACTGATCTTTGGACAAGAACAAGAAAGCTTGTTTTTTTTTAGCTTAGGGTCAAATTTTAGTTTTATTTTATGTTTCAGGGGAAAAAACACTCTTCTTTTCCATTTTATTCTAGGGAGGCAGGGAATCTAAACTATCGGATCAGGAGATGAGGCCATTTTATTTCTGAGCTAATCCTTCTAGGGAAAGGGGGTAAGTTTTACTCAGGCAATGTCTGTACTGTATTACATTTCAGGGAGGGTTTTGTCACGGTTTTTTTTTTTTTTTTCGGGCAAGCCTTTTAGCGCTTTCTCATTGAACACAAGTTCGCTAATGCACTGAGACACAATTTTTCAGCCAGGAATGTGAGGAATGGTTTGCGACTTCCGGCAGTATAGTTAGTCGTCGCCACTGCTGTAGTGTGACACTGACGACGCGAGCCTGCCAGCGCCACGCGGGACTCTGCTGCAGGAAACGACCCGGGCTGTCGTTTTTAACGTCGCCAGCCTGCAGCAGAAGCAGCAGGCGCATCACATAGTGTAACCGACACAGAGTCTGCAGCAGGCGCAGTCTGTTCAGGCTGCACCACCTCAGCAGCCTGAAACAAATACTGTACACTCTGGGTCCTGAAAGTCGCTGACTTCTGCAGTTATGTACTGCATGTCTCTTCTAGGGACAGGTAGTTATTGGCACAATCAAAATACTGTACAAGTGGATCCTATTGCTTTGGCAATAATGCCAGAATATACTGGCTGGAATTTATCACCAAACTTTTTTTAATTTAACAAATATTCCACTGGAAATTTTCGCCAGAATTGGGGAAATTTGCCTGTATATTCTATATCTGTGTGAAAAGTGGTACTTTCCTGTTATCTCAGTACCCATTTTCCTTTGTCTCATGAATTCAGTATTTTTTAGGTTAGGTTAGGTCAGGTTATGTTAATTGAAAGATATTTGTAAGTAACATAACCTGACCTAACCTAACTTCACCTAACCGCCTCCAGTTAGGTATCAGTTAAATGTAATACTGTATATTCGTAACTAACATAACCTGACCTAACCTAACTTTACCTAACCACCTCCCAAAAATTATCAAAGAAATCAGCCCATCAAAAGCACAGATTACCCCATTCATGGAAAAGCACTTCCCACCTTTCCATTCTTCCTCCATTGTTGTGATCCACCTCCCAGAATCAGTTTCAGCAGAACATGGAAAAATGAAATTCACAGTTTCTGGCAGGTGCACAGAAAGTAGGTACAGGAAATTACCTAAAAAGCTTTGGGAGAACAAAATATAAGTGGGGCAGACATTATCAGAGCAATTCCTTTGGCAATTTCAGCAAAGGAAATTTAACAGCAGACAATTTAGTTTTACCAGTGAGCTGATCCAGTTTATTTTGAGACACAGAAAACTACGCGCTGGAAAGCCAGAGAGGGCTAGAAGATTCTCAAATTATTTTAAAAGGTTCAAACCTTGGTTTGAACAAATAACCTTGGTTGGTTTGGTTGCATGTTTTCCTTTCATTTTCAGACAGGAAAGGAAAGGGAAGGAGTCTTGTTTTATTGCATGGTTTGCTCACCCCTGGGGGCAGTAGGGACCTGGTTTTGTGGCTGGTTTTCTCCTGATTGCAAGTTTTCATTTTCTTGATGATTTTTGGTGTCTGAGTATAATAAGGGTGAATTTTTTTGTGGGAAGCATCAGAAAAATTTTAGCTGTGAAATCTGAAGGTCCCCTACCATCTTGGGGATTGTTGTGAATTAAAACTGTTGTTAGCAGAGTACTTGCCTAAATTCTTCTTTGAAAGTTGGCTTTGTTTATAGCCCAATGGCAGCTTTTCATCAAAACAAGTGCAGAGTGACAAATTGAACTACACATATAAGCTTTCCCAGGTTTATAGTTTTAATCAGTTTGAGAATTTGCAGAGGAATAAATTCTGTTTGAGTTTCTTTGGAGGAAGAAGGGAAAGGAGGGAAGTGGTTTTCCATGAATGGGGTTTTCTGTGCTTTTGATGGGCTGATTTCTTTGAAAATAAAAGATGATGCTGTCCATAGTTTTACAATTCCTTTGAGACTTTTTCTTTGGTTCTGGGCTCTACATGAGCCCCAGCAACTGTTTCAGCAGGATGGGATGCAGAAGGATTATTAATAAATTAAATTATTTCATTGCCCTGCAGTCCCCAACAGCAATAATCATATGCAGAAATTAAGAGCATAAGCAAGGAATTCAGGCATTTGAATATCACCTCAGCACCAAGAAGGATATAGGCTCTTGTATATGATGAACTTGTGAAATGAGGTGTTTTGTGTGATTTCCCTTTTTTCCTAAATTTGTTCTTTGGCTCTCATACCATGCTGCACCTGCACACAGCCGATTTATTCCACTGAAATAAATTTATGCCTTTCAGAGCTTTCAATAAGGAGGACAGTGCCCACGTCAACCCTTCTACAGCAAAGTTTGGATATTTTTGCAATATTGTGTGCCCATGAGCCCTGAAAATTTAAAAATCCAATATTTGTGGGGGGGGGGGGGGGGGGGGAAAAGGTGGGGGAAATCCAAAAGGGGGGGGGGGGGGGGGGGTGGGGGGGGGCTAAAAGTTGGGGAAATTCCAATATATATTGATAATCCTGCGGGAAATTCTGAATGAAAATAATAAAAATCCCTCACTGGATAGCATTGTTTCCTGCATTTCAAACATGTAGGATCAACATTGGATAATCCTTTGAACAAAATAAAAATTTTCTTCCAAATTTTTCCCAACTTAGGCCTCCCCAATCTGGCAGCATTTGAGTTATTTTTGGTCAAATTGAAATGCACCTCCCTAAAAAAATCCCAGCTTTTCTTATGAGAAGGTACCCTCCACTGTCCAACAGTTGAAAGGATTCAAAGTAAATTTTCTTCAATGGTCCAATGGTCAGATTCAAGGAACAATACAGAGATATCTGAAAGAATTCAAACAGGAGCCACTTCTGAAACCACAGTGCACAACTGTTCACTTCAAAATTCAGAAGGCAAATGATGATTTCTTCTTGCCACTGGTGGTGAGATTTTTGGAGAACGTGTTTTTTATTCATTTTATTTTCCATGCCAATTGGTCAATGCGATTTTCCTTTCTTTTCACCCAATTTTGTATGTCCTGGAATCTATTTATGAGCCTGACTTTTCCTTCAACTAATTTTCTTGACAAATTTTTCGACCGATTTTCCTCTCCATTTTCTTAATTTTATTTTATGATTTTTCACCATAGTGGTGTGAACTTCTTCTTATTTATTTTTATTCAACACTGTTTACTGGGCACAGTGTTACTCACCACTTTATCAGTCCCAGTTTTTCTTCTTCAATTCATTATGTTTTTGGAGTTCTTCGTGACCCACCCATTGCAACAACGACAAAAATATAATGATTTCGCACCAGAGCGATGTTTTCTTCTGAGTTCAAAAAATACATTCTCAGATCATTCAAATACGCGGGAGTCTTTGTCTCATGCCTCATCCTCGTTGCAAATGTGAAAGATTTCCAACATGATAAACAGACTCTTTGGCAATGCATTTGACGAAAACCAAAAGACGCAAACATAGATTCACAATCACAAGCTGAAGTACTGTTGGTTGTTTTGAGACTTTTGAGAGAAAAATTTCTTTCTCGTTCCAGACATTATGACGCAGAAGTCAAGATTAATATCCAAAGTTTCCGAGATCAAGGTTCGAATCAAACACCCCATCGTTTCAAGTTCGTTTGGATTTATCTTGAGGAAGAGAGTCAGGACACGACGAACTCAGCAAGTTTTTACTTTCATTTACAACCACCATGGCACTTACACTATAGACGGGAAAGCATCCATCCGAGGTTCTGGTCGATTCCAACATTTATCCAACACAGCAGACAGCAGATGGTGAAGAGCTGCATTCCAGTCTGAAGAATGCAACATGAATTGATGAAATCTCTGCTCCAGCGGTCTGAGAAACGAGGAAAGCATGTGAAAGGGTTACAATTCGTCAATGAGAATGAAGGATAACCTTCGCCTTGATCGTTATTCGACTGCGAAGCGTTTATCTTTGTGGGAAGGAGCCTTTCGTATTGGATCATGACTGCGTGCCAGCAGAGGAAAAAGAAGGGATCGAGGAACATACGCAAGCCAAAAAGATCCTTGCTGAAAAAAAGGGAATGAAAAATCAGAAGAAGAGAGCGAAAAGTAGAGAGGAAGTGGAAGAATCGAAAGAAAGAGAGGACGGAATCGTTGAAAGTTCTTCATCTTCCAACAAATAATCAAGTGTTTTTATTTTCAACTGATGCCGAGAAAAAATCCGAATTTTTTTTTTTTTTTTTCAAAGACTCCATCATACAGTACTTTTAGTCGATCTTGCGAAAATAGTGACGTGTTTTTATCGGAAAATGCATTTTTATATTTGAAAGGATACAAGCCAAAAACATTCTTGCTATAAAAAAAAATAATGGCATGCATAGAGAGGAAGTGGAAGAATTGAGAGAAAGAGAGGACAGAATCATTGAAAGTTCTCAAACTTCCCAAAGAAATGACAGGGTTATCTTTTCAACAGATGCAGAAGAGACTTCCCTGTTTTTTTTTCAAAAACTGCGAAATACTTTAGGCAATTCCAAATGTCTAAATACAAATTTCGAAGTAAAGAAAAGAAAATTTATTGTGAATAATGTATTTTTCATGAGACGATATTATGGTTCAATACGCAAATGAGAAGAACATAAATTTTGGTTTGTTAAATAGTTATTCTCTTATCTTTGCGAAAATGTGATGAAGACAGGGACTTTCAGACATTTCAATAGTCTTTCCCATTATTTTGGAGTGTATTGGGACAAATTCAATAGTCCAAAAAAAAATTGCGCATCACTTTGCTTGTTCCAAAATTTTAAATTTACGTTCAAAGTTGAATAGTGTATTATCAGCTCTCGTCCCTTGCTCACTGTTGAATATTAAACCATTGCCCGCTGTGGGGCCCAGCATTTGGAACCCAGGTACCAGGTCATCTACCAGTTGGCCAAATCACAGTTGCGCACCTGCCCGTTGTCAAGCGCCGATTGGTCTAAATGCCAGCCAGGGCAGTCCTTGGCCTTGCCAATCCCCTGTCCACCAAACTGCGGTCCAGTCACCTGATTGTGGGGGCACCCTAACAATTGGGTGACAAGAATCATGTTGACTCTTTCCAGAATTTGGTGAGCAGAATGGTATCCTACCATGGTTTTTTTTTTTTACATTTCCTCTTATTAAAATTTTCAAAAAAGAAAATTCATCAAACCCAACCTAACTTAACGTAACATATCCTAACCTACCATAACCTAAAGTAACATAACATAAACTGACCTAACCTAACCTAACATTGCTGAAATTTTGAAAAAAAATCTGTGGTAGGATACCATTCTGCTCACTGAATTCTGAAAAAAAAAATCAGCATGATTCTTGTCACCCAATTGTTTGGGTGCCCCAACAATTGGATGACCAAACTGCAGTTTGGTGGGATGGGGATTGGAGAGGCCANGCATGATTCTTGTCACCCAATTGTTTGGGTGCCCCAACAATTGGATGACCAAACTGCAGTTTGGTGGGATGGGGATTGGAGAGGCCAAAAATTTCCCTGGCTGGAGGTTGGACCAAACAGCACTTGATGACCAGCAGGTGAGCGACTGTGAATTGACCAACTGGCGGCTGACCAGACACGTGGAACCCAGGTGCTTTTTGCCCTCCCAAAAGTTGAGATATGTTCTTTAAAAAATTGAAAATTTTTAATGGCTCCTCAAAAAATTTAGCTACAAAATTATACCTTTGTTCAACAGTATTCCTCAATTTTTATCATACAGAAATATAATTTCTGAATGAAACTCTCAAGTTTTGCGACAAAAGCAAATTTCAAATTTTTGAAGTTCCACATCAAATACGTTCCCCTGCTGCAGCTAATTTCAAATACTTGTCATTTCCTACAATTCGGCATGGTTAGATCAAAATGAATTGCCACTTTTGTTTTTAAGATTTACAGATTCAATTATTGAGGAAAATTTAAGAAAAATTGGGAAGTTAATGGGCTATAATACATAGATTTGTAAATCAGAAGGAATAAAGCTCAGGAACTTCGAATTAAGATTTATTCGTGTGCAGGCGGATTTTTTCAAATGAGTCAGTGCCTCGAGTGAAAACAAATTCCAAACGCTTCACTGCTACGGGTGCTTCATTATACAATCAACTCAAAACTTTCCAAAATACCATCGCAATAAACAAAAAAAAGAAATCGCGCATTATTTATCCTCCTGTTCGTCGGGTTCAGCGTCCTGCTGCTGCTGTGACTTGAGTCGGCTCAGAATCAGCAGCGGATCAACAACGATGTTGTCCTTCACGGGTTCCTGCTGCTGCTGCTGGGCCCCACCAGTAGCAGCAGGCGAGTCGTCGCATTCCAGCAGCAGGGCCGCATTGCCGACACTGAACAGGGACCCGATGTCGGCCTGGGCACTGATTTCTGTCACTGACGGGCAGCGATAAGGTTGACGACCCGCCGACGTGTCAGCGTCCGGTTGGTGCTGAAGAAGCTGCTGCTTCCTCGTCGCAATTTGCTCCCGCAGCTTCCGGGTGGGCGCGGGGATCCATTCCGCTGTCGGCATCAGCACTCTCATCAGCGGCTGTTTTCAATGGCGAGGAAACATTTTTAATTGGCTGCGGGTTTGCGGGATTCCAGAGCGAAGATATGAGGAAGGAGAGTAATATAGACCATATTCAGGTCTGTACAGCCTATATGTTCAGTTCCTCCCAATTTTAAATGCAGTCCAATCTCTGCCAGCAGTCAAAACTTCAATAAGGGACCATGTCATAATTTGACTTCGGCATTTTTCTAGTTAAAGAATCAAACAGTGCTGCGAGAGAAAACAGAGAAGCGTTGCTGGAAATTTTAATTGATGATATTGATGTTTGCGGGTTTCCAGAGAGAAGATGATGAAGAAGAGGAATAGACCATTCAGGTCTGTACAGCCCATGTTCAGTTCCTCCCAATTTTAAATGCAGTCCAATCTCTGCCAACAGTTAAACTTCAATAAGGGAATATGTCATAATTTGACTTTGGCATTTTTTCTAGTTAAAGAATCAAACAGTGCTGCTAGGGAAAACAGAGAAGCGTTGCCGGAAATTTTAATTGATGAAATTCTGGGCCTTGAAGTAATTTTTGGTTGAGTTTGTCAGAGACTCCAAAGAGCCAAAGACAAAGAAATAAAAGTTTTAGGAAATAAAGGAAGGCACAATAGGCCGTTCGCGGCCGAGACTAGGTCTCCTCGAACGGTGTAATTCAGGAATACAAATTGACAACAGTTTTCACTTTCAGGAATCAGGAAGACACACTTTTTCAAGAGCACTTTCAGGAACCAATCGCTACAAGAATCTCAAGATGAGTGACGATCTTTGGTGCTGCGGATTTCCGGGACCAGTACTGGAAAACTGGTTTCCAAGGTTGAGTTGAGGTGAGTTCTTGTGGTCGGAAGCAGGGTTGTGAAATATTAATGGTTTATGTGTTTGTGGCATTTTCAGGTGTAGCAGTGATTGGAGCGTAAAGGGCAACACCTTACGGTCCCTGACAAAACCCCCCTGGGCTTGCTCGGCTAGATGGCATGACGGGCAAGTCCATGGTCTGGGACCTGTTCAGTCGCCATGACGGTGGCCGTTGTCAGTTCATTTGGAGTTTTTTTGGCGGGAATGGTTGGGTTGAGTGTTTGTAGGCAGGATTTGAAGATGTGGTTGAAGTTTGCTGAAGATATTCCTTGATCTTGTGGATTTGTTTTTGATTGTGGCGTGTTTTTTGAACTGCGCAGCTGTGATGCTAGATTTGTAGGTTGGAGATTTTTCCGCTTAGATTGCGACCCTGTGTTGGGGGTACGAAATGTAGAGGGCAACCCTGTAATGGGGGTGCCGCAGTTGACTTCTTTGTAGCGGTAATTTCGTATTTTAGCGGTAATTTCGTATTCATATCTTTTCGCAACCCTGTAATGGGGGTGCTTATGTAGACTAAGACTTTGTGCGACCCTGTAATGGGGGTGCAGAGCTCAAAGTAGCGACCCTGTAATGGGGGTGCTTTGTTGAAGTATAAACAAACAGCAGTAATTGACAATTTTGTGGCGCTGCGGCCTAATATACAGCAGTAATTGTTGAAATGCGTGGCGCTGAGGCCTGATGGTGTTCAGCAGTAGTTGAAGATGTTTTCAGGGCTCTGAGGCCGGTGATTGCTCTTTAGTAATTGCTGGACGTTTTTTGATGATCCTTTTCAGGTTGTTGTGACGGAGAACTAAAAGAAAGAAAAGATAAGAGTGGAGATGAGCGGCAAACGTCGAGATTCAATTGATCGAGGTGCTGCTGAGACATATAGGTTTATTGACAATATTGATGAGACATTCAATTTCTTTTTTGCAGAGATGGCCGAGTTGGAGGACGATGGGAGAAGCACGCCCAAGAGCGTTTTCAGCCTGCCGATTTTGCCGTTGGTGAGCAGATTGGAGCCGATTCCTGGTCCATCTACGCCAAAGCTGGCACGTCGTGTTGGTGCGGATGGGGTTGTTCAGTTTCCTGGGGCCGTCCGAGACTTGGCTGAGACGTTCTCCAGGTTTGACGCGGATCGTTGGTTGCGCATCCACACGCTTGTTCCTGTTGTGGATACGCAGGCTTGTACGGATGCGGTTCACATTGGTTTGGAACAATCCTTGAGCGCTAGTCAGAAGCGCGTTGAGGAACTGCGTATGGAGAATCAGCAGATGGAGGACGAGGCTGCTGGTTTGGAGCAGCGTTGGGCTGTTGTTCAGGAGAGGATGCGGTTGGACCGTGCTTTCTTGGATGGAGCAGGATCAATGGCAACTGCTGCTATGGCGCAGGCAAAGGATGCTTTCTCATTGGCTGTCTCTGCGAGTGTTGCAGCTCTGAAGAATTGTTCGGCGGGGCGTGACATGCTTCTCTTGCCCGACTCGGTTGTTACCTGTAGGGAGGAAGGTATGTTTTGGTCATGTTTTTGTTTGTGCATGTATTTAATGTGTTTGTTGTGTAGGTGAAGTGAAGATATTTCAAGTTCGTGGAAGTGGTGGGATCCAGTTGGGTGTTGGTCCGGATTCCGAACTGATGAAGACCTGGCTTGAAGAAGTAAAGGTTATGGCCGGTGGTCGATCGGTTGCGGATGAGCAAAAGCAAGAGGGAGAGTCTCGTGTTGCGTTGAAGGCAGTTTTGGACGCTGTCATGTCCAGTCCTTTAGTTAAATGTGTTCCTCGTCCTTCGGTTTCTTCCGTTATGGATGTCGAGGAGGAAGACGGGGATGTGATGTTATGCAGCTCTCAGGGTGTGCGAAAGGCCATGTCCAACGTCTTTTTTGGTGGTGAGTTATTTTTGTAATATCTGTTGAATGACTTAAAAAACGATGTTGATGTTTTGAAGGCTCTGCTGGAGAATGGGCGTTTCAACCAGAAAAGAGAGCTGAATATATAAAGAATGTCTGTGTGAGAATGGGCATTACTGACAGAAATTTTTGACGCATTCGGGGCATGAGATTGCCTGTTCCTGGCTGTGCTGTCCAAAGTGTCGAGTACTGGAACGATTATTTCGGATCGTGTGAGGAGGATAGGATGGGGCTTGAGGGGAAGCCAAAGGTGTTAGTGTTTGGCACCTCCCTTGTTGCCGTTTGGTTTTTGTGCAGGCCAGATCAGGCATATTTGACACGTGTTGGAGTAGCTTCTGATGTTCCGCCGGCTTATGATTTCAGTCACTTGACACAGGGGATGCCATATGATGTGTATCAGGTTTGTTTGCTGATTTTTGTCGAAGTTGGTTATGATTTGATGAAGAAATTTTGTTATTTAGTATGGTGTGAGTGGCCTGAGTGCTGTAGTGGGGTCGCAGAAGAGCAGATGGTCTCCGGAGGAAATTTGTCGGCGTGTATACCGCGATCTGCGGCTGCATGAAAATTTTCGTTTTACCCATTTGCTGGTGCGTGTGGGTACAAATGATATAAAACATTTGTGCAATGCGGTAGGAGGTGCGAAGTTTACGACAGTTGCGGCAATGTATGCTGCTCTAAGGACGTATTTTGAGGACTTGGCGACAATTTTTCAATGCCCAGTTTTTGCGTTGGGCGCATCTCCTCCTGGTCGTTGGGACGGGAAGAGGGCAAAGTTTCGAGTGGACCGTAGTGGTTACCCTATGTTTCCCTTGAAGCTTGAGGATGGTTCGTTCGTGACAGAGGAAGCAAAGCTGGAGGCGGCAATGATTGTGCAAAAGGCGCTTATGAAGATGTTGGCGAGCGATGTAGGTGGCGTTCACGGAAAAACTGAGAAGTGTCCAGGGTGGTGGGCTTTGCCAACACCGCTGGATTATTTGGCTCGCTATGTGAAGGTATCTTACACGTTGTTTTCCTCTTTCGGACATTTGAATCCGCGAGCCTTTATCTGGTTTGCGAGGGACCATGCTGCTGCGATTTCCTTTGCTGTTACCATTACATCGGGTGAAGTCTTGAAGGATACATCTCTATGTCCTGGAGAGGGTCCTATGTGGTTGGATGATGGGACAGCAGTTGAGGGCAAGTCTCCTGTGTCCAGCCATCAGCATGTTGTTTGCCAGGTGTATCGCCCTTGCCTTTATGATGCTGTTGGCAGGGTGTCTTTTGGTGGTCAAGGGATTAAGGAGAATCCTTTTGACAAGTAAGTGATGGTTGTGTTTTAACATAGTTTTTGGATTTTGATGGTTTACTTTGCTCAGATGTGTGGGTATCTTGGATGGAGGATACTGTGAGACATTTGCAATGGATACTTTGGCGTCCACTGGTCGTCAACGTGGAAAGGATGGACGTTTTATAACCGGAGATGTTGTTGTTATCAAGGCGACAGGAGTCGAGAAGGTGGTTGCTGTTGTACACCGGGCTTCGTACTGGGTAGTTGGGAAGGGTGGTCGTCAGTTGGTGCAGGACAGTGAAGTGAGGGCTAAGTAAAGACGTTGGGTTCGTTATTTTGAAGAGGAAGTTTTCCCTTAGTTGGTACATGTTGCGGGTAATGAGGTACAAAGATTGGTGAAGGAGGTTAAGGGGTTTGTTGTGAGACTTGTTTGTTGCAATTTGTTCAAAAAGGGGGCTTCTGTGCGTTGAGCTTTTTCGTTGATGCGATGCGATTTCTTAAGTTTTGTTCCGAAAAGACGAATGAATTTGTTTCATGAGGCCGTTGTATGATTAATTGCATTTGTTATCTGGCGGTCTTGAATTTCTAATGGGATGAGATTTTGTATTGATTGATTTTTTAGAATATGTGGTGTAGATGTGCCGTCATGATTGTAGCGGCGTGATGTGAGGACGTCAACTGATCTGATCTTGCCGTCACGTTTGCTGCGATGTACATGGATGATGCGGCAAAGTTTCCACTTCAGATGCCCCATAGGTGTGTCCTTTTTGAATGCTTTCTGGTTTAGGAGAACAATTTGTCCCTCAATTGGTTCCAGGTGTTCAAGGTGTTTTGGTTGCTTGTTTGACGGGAATTGTCGAAGGGTTGTAATATAACCATCGTAAAACGTTTTCCAGAGATTGCGGACGATGGCAATGCAAAATTGCGTCTGTTTGGTGATTCCTTCCCTGGTTGTGTAATCCAGGAATTGGAGTGGATTAAGGCCGTAGCAGTATGGATGGAAATCTGGATCAGTGTGGTAATCAGCTTGAGGTGAGTTGATAAACATTGACGGTGTTATTGCAATGGGATCATTGCGGTTTGAAGGTAGATATGTAAGTGGTCTTGAATTGATGACACATTCAACAAATGTAATTGCTGCTTGTACTGAGTTAGGATTGGAGAAGGGGATTCCACGGAAGGACCGGGCTAGGCAATTTTTAATCATTCCCATAATTCTTTCGTAGAATCCGCCCCACCAAGGGGCCTGTGCAGCGTTGAAGTGCCATTTAACTCTTTTTGTGGTGAATTCTTCTTTCAGTTCTTCATTGGCGCGAAGGAAGCGTGGCCAGGCGGCACGGAAGGTAGCAGGGTTGTCGGAGACTATGTTGCGTGGTTGGAGATTTCGGCGATTGCAGAAGCTGTGGTATGCTCCCATGAAGGATTCAAGATCCAAGTTGTCTACTGGCTCTAAATGGACTGCGCGTGTTAGTGGGCAGGTAAATACACAAATAGATATATTCTTTTCCGTAGGTGTATGGAAAGGTCCTACAAAGTTGATGCCAACTGTTTTGAATGGTTGGTGTCCCGTGTAACGAAATTCTGGTAGAGGGGCTGTAGTCTGGGTGAATGATGGGTTGTTAAAGCGTTTGCACCAATTACATTCTTTGATGATGTTTCTTATTATGCGTTTGCCTCCTTGTAACCAGTACTCTTTGGTGATTTCCTGTTGTAGCAGCATTGTTGATCCATGTTTGTGTTTCAGGTGCTGGCTTTGTATAAAGGTGCGTAAAAGTGTTGGAGTTTGATGGTTCTTGGGCACTGGAAGGTGGAGTAGAAGTCTTCTGGCTTGGTGAGTTTCTGGAATTGTTGTGTGTATGTCAAGAGATTGTCTGCTGATTGATGTAATGAGTTGTTTGTCTTTGTCCCAGCAAAGGTCTGGTCTGTTTTTAACGAGTTTTCCAGATTTTGGAATTCGCCACTTTTTGTGATCATAGTATTTCTGCATTGTGCGGATACCTTCAAGGTGTGCTTG